AGTAACGGCAGAAGTAGGCCTCTTTTTCCTGTTCAAGACATCTTACTTGTTTCAGGTTACTATATAATTTTTGTTGATAGCAACGAAAAGGATAATATAAAAAAAAGAATATCATGAGGATCTAACCGGAAATGTTTAAGTTTTCAAACAACAAATTATTAAAAATCACATCTCTTTCGACGCGATCAAAAAATAAGTTATCATATAACAAAAAAACTTTTATGTTCTAAGTCAATATTTAATTTTAATTCCACATCAATCTCTCGAAGAAAAAAAAATGTGTAAATTGAGATGTTAATATATTACAAAACAGCAAATAAATTTCTTTTCTTTTCATTTTCAATATTTTATTAGAATAATAAAGCGTCCGAACAAAAAAATCTCTCTCCTATGTCTTTTATTTACAGATCGATTTCATTCCGATCTTTATTCCAACAATTGATTTGACAAAGAAGTTCTTTTGTTAATATATCAATTGAAGAATTATTTGATAAAAGTTCATTATCAGAAATTAATCGAGTTTTCATACCGGTGATTTTCATACTAAATTTTATCAAAATAAATTATTAGAAAAAAGAAAAAATGATTGATTTTTACATTGTTTCAGCATATTCAAGTAATATTGAATGAAATGATCGTTCATACCAATAAACAGATTCATAAATAATTGCTAAATTTTCATTTCGTTTACGACGTATTTGATATGTTTGATAAAATTGTTCAATTGAATCAAATAATCGATTATCAAATGTTGATAAAATTTTACCATTTTTATCTAATTGTCCAAAGATTTCTTTTTTCTTTAAATAATAAGAATTATTGAAAGAAAACATATTTTTCTAAATGTAAACTTACATTAGTAATTATCACTCGAATTGATTTTTCTTTATAAATTTTTAATAAGCCACGTTTTATTAAACAATTTAAATTTGGTACAGAATGATTATCATACCATTGTTGAACACAATCAAGAGCTTTATCAGTATAAATTTGTGTTAAAGGCATTAATGTTTGATTGTGAATAATAATTTTTTGTGTTGAATTAATCGATGGTAATAAAGAAAATAATTGATTTGTATCATTCGATATATCATCATCATTCATACTGAATGCTGATCGAGATTCAGATATAGTTTTCATTGGCATTGGTTCAATTGCTAAAAATCAATGATGTAATTTGATAGGAAAAAAATCAAAATTTATTCAAGTAAACCTTGTCGCCACCAATCTTCAGTAGTTGTCAAGTTTTTCTGATCAATTTCATCTTCAATCGATAAATCATTATCGACTTCTGAAGAACCAGAGGATGATAACTAAAATATTTTTTAAAAATCACCTCGAGATATACTTATATACAATATTATTAGTATTTGGAATTTTAGTATGAAGAAAAATCATTTATAACCTACGGAAGGAACAGATGAAGATGATTGTTTTCTTGATGATGTTGATGATGATGATTGTCGACTAGTTAATTCCGTATTATTTGATATTCGAGATGCTGTTCGTCGTAATGATGGTAAATCATACATAAGTAGACCAGAAGGAAATAATGAAACACCTTTATTTTCTGCTGCATTTGAGAAATTATCTGATGTATTCTTATTAGAACGACTCATTTTGTATTTAACTTCGTCAAAGAAAGATTTCTTATTTAATTAAATTAACGGTCGAATTTTTATAGAATTCAGAAGAGAGGTCAAGAGAAAAATCGCTAGAGGTCAGTGAAAATCATTTTATTTCATTACTTTTGACTTTATTTTAATACTGGAAAAATTTTAAAAAAGAAAGAAGGAATGACAAGCAATATAAGAAGTTTAAAAAAGAGAAAAGAATTAAAATCATAAACAAAAACTTCTTTTAAGCTCAACATACAAAAGAAAAATATCATATATATCTGTATGTGAGTATTGTGTTAAATATAATGACAATAGGAATGTTGTTCTTTAGGTAAATATTTATGTAATTATTGTGATGTTTCAATTTCTTGTAAAAGTCTTGTATGTGTCCATAAATTTGTTGGTGCAAAATAAAATTGTAATTTTGTATTACTTTTACTCATTGCTAACATACGAAGAGCATTGATTTCTGATTGTGTACAACCACCAATAAAAACAATTAAAATTGATTGTTGATTATCATGATATTGTGAACGTGTTGACATACCAGATGAACGTTGTTGAAAGAGATCTTCAGCACCTGGATAACCACGTTGAATAAGTTCATGTTGAAATTGTAATAGTTTTTGTTCATTTATTAAACCTTCTTCAATCAATCGACATGATAATGGAACATAAAATGAACCAAATACATCTGCCTGAAAAAGAAAATCAATAATTAATTACAATTGTATTCAAAATAATCTCTATCGGTGTTTCCGAATTTCGTCAATAAGACATTCGCAGACTGGCGAACGTCTTGTGGGCGAAAATTATACATGGATTTACCAGTGGCGGATCCAAGAATTTTTGAAGGGGGAGGGGAGGGGTGCGGATACGATACAGACTCAATATTTCTGCGGAAAACTGCTAAAAGTTAGCATAAAATCTGCTTTAAAGGGGGGTGCGGCCGCACCTCCCTGGATCCACCCCTGAGATTTACTACTTGATCCAAGTAAAAATGTAAACTTGTTATCGCCATTATCCTAGACATAACTCAAATTCAAACCGTTTGGGTCTTCTTTTAATTACCATCAATGTATCCAAAATAGTTTCTTCTATAGATTAAAAAAGCACAAACTCAAACTCAAAGCCAAGCTGTTTGGGGGTTTGGGCG